GTTTCCACCAAGCGGTCCGGTTCGGTCCGGTTCTCAGTTATTGGCGTTTCCACTGTCGGGTCAAATACCATCTGATCCGTACCGTTCTACGAGCGGTCTGGTTTTGGTTCAGTAAACCTTGATCTTGGTTTCCACAAACAACCGTACCGTTACGCATCACTAAATCACAGCGGCGAGTGCAGACCGCCAATAAATCCAACAAAGAAGAAGAACGCCACACAGGAGGGTCAGCGAGTCCAGGAGGGTCAGCGAGTCCAGGAGGGTCAGCATCTCCGACTCTCCAAATCCTGTTTTGTTCGTCTTTTACTAACGATGTCACACAGGAAGTGAAGAATCCTTCCACCAATCAACGGACTGCAGTGAGTGTAGCTCCGCCCCTTTAGGGTCGGATCAGGACGCTCAGCACCCCAACAGAAGGGAACCAAAGAAGTCGATCGGTACGGATCGGTTATTTTGGTACCAATACAAACTTTCCCGTCCCAAAGCGCACCGGGGTGCCAAGCGTACACGCTGCAGTCCGTTGATTGGTCGAAAGAATAGACGACCTCGGAGGTGCTGACCTCTGCTGGACGCCCTCCATCGTTTCTCTTACTGTCGCGTTCTTCTTCTTTGTTGAATTTATTGCCGGCTACGCTGAGTCGTACTGCTATGATGTCACGCTATTACGTAGCGGACGCCGCTGTCGGCCCTGTCGCCGCTGTCGGCCCTGTCGCCGCTGTCGGCCCTGTCGCCGCTTACGCCGCTGTCGGCCCTGTCGCCGCTAACGCCGCTGTCGCCGCTGTCGGCCCTGTCGCCGCTAACGCCGCTGTCGGCCCTGTCGCCGCTGTCGGCCCTGTCGCCGCTGTCCGCCCTGTGCGCCCTGTCGCCTGTCCCGCCTGTCGGCCCTGTGGCCCTGTCGCCGCTAACGTCGGCCTGTCGCCCTGTCGCCCTGTCGGCCCTGTCGCCGCTAACGCCGCTGTCGGCCTGTCGCCCTGTCGGCCCTGTCGCCGCTAACGCCGCTGTCGGCCCTGTCGGCCCTGTCGCCCTGTCGGCCCTGTCGCCCTGTCGGCCCTGTCGCCGCTAACGCCGCTGTCGGCCCTGTCGCCCTGTCGGCCCTGTCGCCCTGTCGGCCCTGTCGCCGCTGTCGCCCTGTCGGCCCTGTCGCCGCTAACGCCGCTGTCGGCCCTGTCGCCCTGTCGGCCCTGTCGCCCTGTCGGCCCTGTCCATCTTCTGAGTTCTTCATGAAGATTTCACTTCCTTAAAAAAAATAGTTTAAAACACTTTGTTGAACTTCAGAAGGAGCCGGAGCTGTCAGTCTGTGGTGTGTTCAAGGACCATAGTGATGTGTTCAAGGACCATAGTGATGTGTTCAAGGAACCCTCTGGTATGCTCAATCACAGGCGGAGGAGTTACTGTTTGACCAACAAACTAGTGTGACTGACTGTTTATAAACGTCTGTGTGTGTGTGTGTGTGTGTGTGTGTGTGTGTCTCAAGAGTTACTAATAATCACAGTCAGTACATTTCGGCATCATGAGGTTTTGTTCAAAATCTCCTGCAGAAGTTTTCTGTCCATCATCGACTCAGGAGGAGGGTGTTTGATTTTCTCGTGTGTGTGTGTGTGTGTGTGTGTGTGTGTGTGTGTGTGTGTGTGTGTGTGTGTGTGTGTGTGTGTGTGTGTGTGTGTGTGTGTGTGTGTGTGTGTGGGTGTGTCTCCATATTGTCCTCCATCTGTCTCTGTCTTTTCTGTCCTCTTTGTTCTGTTGTTCACTCAAAGCCTGCCTCTCTCCACCTCTCTCTCTTTATTCTCTCTCTCTCTCTTTATTCTCTCTCTCTTCTCTCTTTATTCTCTCTCTCTCTCTCTCTTTATTCTCTCTCTCTCTCTCTTCTCTCTTTAATCCCTGGTTGAGGATTTCATTTCTCTCTGTGTGAGGATTTACATGTTAAGTGCAGGTTGGTTAATCTGTTGATTGGCCCTTTAAGGGTTTAAAACACACACACACACACACACACACACACACACACACACAACACACACACACACACTGATACTTGTCTTAGTGTCTTAGTGAGGACCCAGTAAACGTCCTCTGACGTGTCTCACCTGTCGTCTGTAACCTCCGAGCACTTCCTCTGTTTCCTCTTTAAAGATGAAGTGTGTCCTCAGGTTCTGGGTTCTGGACTTTGTCAGAGTCCGGAGCCGCCGAGCATCATGGGAGACACACACACACACACACACACACACACACACACACACACACACACACACACACAGCATCCTCGTATTTGTTCTGCAGAAAGTTAAAGCTCTGCTTTGTACATCTTCCCTCAGGTGTGTGTGTGTGTGTGTGTGTGTGTGTGTGTGTGTGTGTGTGTGTGTGTGTGTGTGTGTGTGTGTGTGTGTGTGTGTGTGTGTGTGTGTGTGTTGTGTGTGTGTGTGTGTGTGGTGTGTGTGTGTGTGTGTGTGTGTGTGTGTGTGTGTGTGTGTGTGAAAATGAGAAAACGGCCGAATATTCAGGTTTATTAGAGAGCAAGTCACAGCAAGAGACCACACACTCTCTCTGTCTCTCTCTCTCTTTGTCTCTCTCTCTCTCTCTCTCTCTGTGTCTCTCTCTCTTTGTCTCTCTCTCTGTCTCTCTCTCTCTCTCTCTCTGTCTCTCTGTCTCTCTCTCTGTCTCTCTCTCTCTCTCTCTCGCTCTCTCTGTCTCTCTCTCTCTCTGTCTCTCTCTCTCTCTCTCTCTCTCTCTGTCTCTCTCTGTCTCTCTCTCTCTCTCTCTCTCTGTCTCTGTCTCTCTCTCTCTCTCTCTCTGTCTCTCTCTCTCTCTCTGTCTCTCTCTCTGTCTCTCTCTCTCTCTCTGTCTCTCTCTCTCTCTCTCTCTCTCTCTCTCTGTCTCTGTCTCTCTCTGTCTCTCTCTCTCTCTCTGTCTCTCTCTCTCTCTCTCTAAACAGTTCATCTGGTGATAACAGCACAGGATGTTTATATAAGAGCGTCGCTGTGTGTGTGTGTTCTCTGTTTGTAGTTCATGGGTTTTTGTGCTGACAGAGTTTGTAGTCCTTCCAGGACCGAGATGAAACCAGAGAAGGATTCAGGTTTACTAACCACATGACATCATCATGACATCACAGCCCTGCAGCTCTGCAGAGAGGAGACAGAGGAGAGGCGTTCAGGTTTTAAAGGTTCCTGTAGAGGTTCTAAATGTTCCTGTAGAGGTTCCTGTAGAGGTTTTAAATGTTCCTGTAGAGGTTCTAAATGTTCCTGTAGAGGTTTTAAATGTTCCTGTAGAGGTTTTAAATGTTCCTGTAGAGGTTCCTGTAGAGGTTTTAAATGTTCCTGTAGAGGTTCTAAAGGTTCCTGTCGAGGTTTTAAATGTTCCTGTAGAGGTTCTAAATGTTCCTGTAGAGGTTCTAAATGTTCCTGTAGAGGTTCCTGTAGAGGTTCTAAAGGTTCCTGTAGAGGTTTTAAAGGTTCCTGTAGAGGTTCCTGTAGAGGTTTTAAATGTTCCTGTAGAGGTTCTAAAGGTTCCTGTAGAGGTTTTAAATGTTCCTGTAGAGGTTCTAAAGATTCCTGTCGAGGTTTTAAATGTTCCTGTAGAGGTTCTAAATGTTCCTGTAGAGGTTCCTGTAGAGGTTCTAAAGGTTCCTGTAGATGTTCCTGTAGAGGTTCTAAATGTTCCTGTAGAGGTTCCTGTAGAGGTTCTAAATGTTCCTGTAGAGGTTCTAAAGGTTCCTGTAGAGGTTTTAAATGTTCCTGTAGAGGTTCTAAAGGTTCCTGTCGAGGTTTTAAATGTTCCTGTAGAGGTTCCTGTAGAGGTTCTAAAGGTTCCTGTAGAGGTTTTAAAGGTTCCTGTAGAGGTTCCTGTAGAGGTTTTAAATGTTCCTGTAGAGGTTCTAAAGGTTCCTGTAGAGGTTTTAAATGTTCCTGTAGAGGTTCTAAAGGTTCCTGTCGAGGTTTTAAATGTTCCTGTAGAGGTTTTAAATGTTCCTGTAGAGGTTCCTGTAGAGGTTTTAAATGTTCCTGTAGAGGTTCTAAATGTTCCTGTAGAGGTTTTAAATGTTCCTGTAGAGGTTCTAAATGTTCCTGTAGAGGTTTTAAATGTTCCTGTAGAGGTTTTAAATGTTCCTGTAGAGGTTCCTGTAGAGGTTTTAAATGTTCCTGTAGAGGTTCTAAAGGTTCCTGTCGAGGTTTTAAATGTTCCTGTAGAGGTTCTAAATGTTCCTGTAGAGGTTCTAAATGTTCCTGTAGAGGTTCTAAAGGTTCCTGTAGAGGTTTTAAAGGTTCCTGTAGAGGTTCCTGTAGAGGTTTTAAATGTTCCTGTAGAGGTTCTAAAGGTTCCTGTAGAGGTTTTAAATGTTCCTGTAGAGGTTCTAAAGATTCCTGTTGAGGTTTTAAATGTTCCTGTAGAGGTTCTAAATGTTCCTGTAGAGGTTCCTGTAGAGGTTCTAAAGGTTCCTGTAGATGTTCCTGTAGAGGTTCTAAATGTTCCTGTAGAGGTTCCTGTAGAGGTTCTAAATGTTCCTGTAGAGGTTCTAAAGGTTCCTGTAGAGGTTTTAAATGTTCCTGTAGAGGTTCTAAAGGTTCCTGTCGAGGTTTTAAATGTTCCTGTAGAGGTTCCTGTAGAGGTTCTAAAGGTTCCTGTAGAGGTTTTAAAGGTTCCTGTAGAGGTTCCTGTAGAGGTTTTAAATGTTCCTGTAGAGGTTCTAAAGGTTCCTGTAGAGGTTTTAAATGTTCCTGTAGAGGTTCTAAAGGTTCCTGTCGAGGTTTTAAATGTTCCTGTAGAGGTTCTAAATGTTCCTGTAGAGGTTCCTGTAGAGGTTCTAAAGGTTCCTGTAGAGGTTTTAAATGTTCCTGTAGAGGTTCTAAAGGTTCCTGTCGAGGTTTTAAATGTTCCTGTAGAGGTTTTAAATGTTCCTGTAGAGGTTCTAAAGGTTCCTGTAGAGGTTTTAAATGTTCCTGTAGAGGTTCTAAATGTTCCTGTAGAGGTTCCTGTAGAGGTTCTAAAGGTTCCTGTAGATGTTCCTGTAG